TTTAATCAAATTATAACTAAATTAAATCAATTAGCTAATTTTTATTTAAAGCGAACATAAAATTTTTTATTCTTTTCTCATCAATGTAACTACTAACTTAGGGGTGCACAACCTTTTTGAGTGAAGGGCCACTTGCACAGCAGGTTGGCTAACGAAGGGCCGCACATGTATTTAGACATGTTAATGACAAATGTAGTAATGTTTATTTAAACATTAGCGTTCCATTTTTTTTATCAATAAACTTAGTAATATCAATAACTTAGTAGTGTTCCATTATTAGAATTCATTCAAAAATAAAAAAACTTATACTTTTTTTTTACAAAAAAAAACTTGCTATTTTTATTATCTGAACAATAGATTTATCAAAATAAATAAACATTGAAGAAAAGAAATGTTTTTTTTTTTTATCATATCATGCAATACGAAAATTCATTTTAGAATTAAATTCTAATAAATAAAAAAAAACTGCAATGCCCACAGAATGAAAGTAGGAAAAAGTTTAGTCATATTTAAGTATTATAAATTCAAATTAAATATTTTAATTGAAGAAAATTTATAGGTTTTAAACAAAAGCCTAAAATAAAAACAAAACTGTGATAGTTCAAAATAAAATTCAATGCTTATTTTGTAATGTACTTTATTATTTTATTTTATTAATTATTAGATTTTTTATATCGTAAACATTTTCCTTTTTTTTATCGAAAAAGATCACTTAAGCAACAAAAAATTGAAATCTAAACTACAAACAGTGAGCAGTTTAAAAATTCACGTTTTCCGCCATTTTATGAATTTCTCAAGTTGCAATAACATTGCATTTAAATTAGGGAGGGATGTAACGAGTATTTGGCCCTTCTGTGAAAAATTCAGTTGGTTGAATGATCAGTCAAATATTTGGCAGAATATTTTTTAGAAATGTATTTTTCTAAGTTTTTTTTATTTTTGAATTTTTATAGATATTACTTTTTTTTTAAAAATTATAATCAGACAAGTCAATTTTGTCATTTTTTCGATACTTTGAGAATTGAGAAGGATCCATTTTTTGCAGTTTTTATTATAACCCAGCATTTTAACAGAACGTCTCATACTATTAATTTATTATCACTCTTTCCCTGTACTGTAATATAAATAACCAGTAACATAGAAAAGTGTGATTTTCAGTATTAAAGTTTTGTTTCAGGAACTAAAAAAAATTATTTTTTCTGTTTTTCTTTTTTTAGGCATTTTTATTATGACTCAGCTTTTTTTTAAAAATAAAGTTACTAATAAGGTTTATTTTATAGCAATTTTTTTCTTCTAAAATTATGGCATTGAGAAAAATTTAAATTGAGATTTTCGGCATAAGTTTTTCATTTTAAAAATTAAGAACATTTTTTCTATCTTTTTATTTTCTTTAAATAAAAAAAAAACTTTTTTTAGACGCTTTCATTATAACGCAGTAATTTTTAATAACATTTCTGATGACTTAATTCTTTTTTCTTGGCTTTTTCTGGTAATTGAAAAACTGAGATGTTCAGCTTTAAAAATTTTTTTCAAAAATTAAGATTGATTTTTATGTTCTCTGTTTCGCTTTTCGACATTTTCAAAAACGTTCTTGATTGACAAAAACGTTCTTCTTAGAGTATGAATACGTTACGTGAATTTTATGAATACGTTTTTCCAGGAAATATTATTCTGAGTCATTAAAATGTTAGTTTCAGTGTCTTGTAGCAGTAAAAGATTTTGCTATTTGGCCCCAAGTATACGGCGTTCAGTCGATTTTTTATTCTTTTTTTTTGCCGAACATTTGGTTTTTGACCAAATCACAATTCATTACCACATTCGACCAAATCATATTCGTTACGGAAATAAAAACGAAGGAAAAATAACTAGGATTTACGATAAAACTGTACCGAAATACCGTATCAAAAATTGATTATTTAATTGCGCGATTAACAATCACGTGCCGTAATAACACCATAGTTAAATAACGGGATCGTCAAAATCGTGTGGAAAAGTATAGAAATAATTGGGAAAAAATATATTTATGCTGAACTCAGCACGAATAAAGCGTGTCAAATGCATGATTTAAAATTTGCATGTCGTAATAGAATAATTGGAATTGTTTATAATACGTGGGAACGCATAGCAATAACTGCCGAAAAAAATTGCTGAAAAAAAAAGAAAGAATTGCAAAAAAAAAAAAGATAAAAAATCACTTAGATTTAAGATGAAATCGTCACAAATAAAGTGCACAAAAAGTGATTATTTAAATTTGTAATCTGAAACTCGCGTCGCAATAAAAATTCGGGATTTTCGAAATCACGTAGAAAAGCGGAAATAACTGTTTAAAAAAAATCATCTATATTTACTATAAAATCCGCTTAAAGAAAGCGCGTCAAACGTACATTTACTAAAGAATCTGTTAAAATTGATTGTGTCAAAACGTGATGACTTAAAAGTGCGAATAAAAATTGCCATTTTTTAAAATTTTTTTTATTGTGTTTAGAAGCTCTTGCGGGCCGCACTTCAGCAGTCGAAGGGCCACATTTGGCCCGCGGGCCGCAGGTTGTGCACCCCTATACTAACTTATTATTTCAATACTAATGTAGACTCATTAATTCACTGTCTCGCCTAATCGCAAACAAAAATCTATTTATAACTCTTTATTCTAAAATTTCTTACGACAAATATGTTTTAGTTACATAGTTATAATAATTCTTACAGTTTCATTGGTGGTTTGAGATTGCCAAAGTATTTCCAAACCCATATTGATTATGGTGCGCTAGCTTTATTTTTGGCTATGTTATTTTTCAATAAATTACCAACCATGGATCTCTTCTCATGATTCTAACTGTCTGTTGGGAACAATTCAATTAACTTTATAATTTGGCTTTTGATTAGGCAGGTCATGAGGGATTTGTCTCCCATGGCCTATCCTTATTGATATTATTATGTAAAATTTATACAACTTAAAGTCCAATGGATAAAAGTATAATTTTGTATCTTGAGCTCTACAAATACTACTAAATAAAAGTTTTTATTTTAATTGTGATCCGATTTTTATCTTCAACTGTTATTTTCATCATCCTGTTGTCATCACAATCTTCAATTATTAAATTATATTTTACAACTTCCAACTACACCCGATTTCTGTCTTGATAAGCACGTGTATTAAAATTACTCTGATTAATAAAACCTTGAAAATGGAAAGATTTATTTTTTGACATAGTGTCGAACAGGAGTTTTCATGAGGATGAGATACAGCACTAACTACTCACGAATTTCAATATAATATAACTTCTAATACAATTTCAATATAATACAAAGAATTACAATATAATAAAACATATTTAGTTTACATAAAGTTAATAAATTAGTTAAAATTCATCATAGAACTAAATACTTTTTTAAAATGCTTATATTGAATAGACTTTCCTAGCAATGTATGGAAAATCTACATTGATTTTGAAAGCTGAACACCATTTTTTTTTTCCTATCCTGCATGATTTAATTTTGCTAACTAAGATAGTCAATAGAGATTAACCGCTTCCCTGATTATCCCATGTTAACTCGGGTATGTATATATTGCAAATTTTTATGATCTAAAGTAAACTCAGGCATATCAGAATTCACCAATACATTTTGTTTTATCACATTTTTATTCGGCCATAAGCAAAACAAAAAATTATAATAATCTGCTGTGATTGGAAGTTAGCCAATATTTGTTCAGAAGTTTTGTTATCTGTGGGACTGCAGACGTGTTTTGTATAATTGTATATACAATAGTTGATGAATTTACATAGAAAAAAGAATTAAAAAATGGCGCTTGCGAGCGAAACTAATGCAGGTGATTTTTCAGATTATGAAGATGTGAACATATACAAAGACTAATATTTAACTTTTTTTTATTTGCCCGAGACAGTTTGGGATAGTAAACTGATGGTAAATTAAATAGTTTTTACACATAAAAAAATTAAAATTTCAACTTAGAGCTTGTGCATTATGTTTTGCTTTAGTTCCTTGTACAGTAGAGTCCCGATTATCCGAGTTAATGGGGACCGCAGCAAACTCGGATAACTGAAAAACTCGGTTAAAGCGAAGAGTATAAAAACGGAAAGAAAAATAGAAGGTATAAATGTAATATATTTAAGAAATACAAAATGTATACGAGTATACCACATACAATTCATATTATAATTAAAAAGCTTACTTAAAAACATTTAAAAAGCATACTTTAGGAGAATTAAATAGTTTTTACTTAAAAAAGTCCTTAATCGTTTTTCGTTCTACGTAACTTTGGCGCTTTTCTGTAGTAATGTTTCGCCTTTTTTAGGGATAACAGGAAGGCTGGTGTTGCCTCTTTTTGTTGTTCTATATATTCAATAGTACATTCGATAGCTTTTAGTCCATCTGTATGAGAGATTTTTATATGTTGATTTTAATAATCACTGCCTTCATCATCTTCGCTGGATTCATTATCATTATTGACGATATTAACGATAATTTCATCAGACCAAGTTGCTGGATTTTGTTTTTCTGAGTGTTTGAAGATAAAATTCAGATTTATTTTTCAGCGGTTTTTTTAAAAATAAAGTAGAACAAAAAAAATCCTTGAAATATTTTATAGCTCAGTTAAAGCGGAAAATCGGATAACCGGGGCTCGGATAATCGGGACTCTACTGTATTTATTAATGAAATAAAAAAATATGCAGATTTTTTAAATTTTTTTTTCTCAAACAAGTTGGTAATGAAAGTGGTTAAGGGCTTCAGAAAAAAGTCGGTCACTTTTTGGTTGGTATTGAGTAAAATAAAACAGCTTAAAAAAAGAAGATATTTTAATTTGTTTTTGAATAAAATTATTACAAACACAGAAATAGTTTTTTCATGTTCCGAGACAACTTTTAAGATTTTAAAACAAAATACGAAAATTTAAGCTATTAATTTTCTCACAACAAATCATTCAATGTGAAATAAAAGGTAATAAACAAATAAGAAAAACACAATATTCTAGTGAATATTACCTTCGTCTTTCAGCGTCATGGGGATCCGTGCCAGGAATGGTAACTGTCACAGATGTTGGAACTTGGTTATATTTGTGAACTGGTTTCCTGCACAACTTGACATGCACAAAAAAGTCAAAGACAGCATTTGAAACTAAAATCAAGGGTGGTTGAATAACATTTGGAAAGAAGCTAAAAAAATAAAAATAATAATTTAAAAACTAATAAAATTTCAATTAGCAAGATTAATAACACAGTTATTCGCAGAGACGTTAATGAAATTATGGGAGAATCAAACATATTGGATGACAAAGGCAAGATTGATTTGTTTTGATTTTCTACGTAACATTCTGCAGAAATTTAATTATTGAATTTTGTGATATGTTTTTTAATGTGGAATGAATGTTTTGGTGGGCATAATTGGGTTTAGTAAAGTGATTTTTTGAAGTGAGTTACTGACGATCTAGACCGTGATTAGAAGTTGAATTAAGAATTTCTCATTAAAAATATTTGTATAAATTTAATGCTTTCGTTAAAATTGAGGATATTTTAGTGTATTTAGGTCATTTATGAGAATTGGAAGGAGTTGGGCAATTTCCTTTGTTTTTTGGAGAGTTTGAAATGGAATAGGGATTTAAATTATGATGTATATTCTTTGGATTTGATATATAGTGTGCTTGTGATATTAACGATGATGTCGTCAATTAAAAATTTTTTAAAGATGTTTGTGAAAGTGGAATATTTCATATATTTATTTTCTAGGGTTTTTATTTTACTTGTTAATTTCTAGCTGAGGTGGTAACGAACCTGCTATCTATGATTCAATATTGTTCTAGTCTTTTTTATTTATTGGACTTACTAAAAATTTGCGCAGATGTATTAAAAATCTGTTGCCAAGGGGTAATGATTCGATATTGATCTGAAGTATTTTTCATTTATAGAAGGTTATAAACGAATGTGTTTGTTGTGTTAAATTTATTGGAAATGTGTGCAGATGCATTACAAAACTGTTGCTTAGGGGTAATGATTCAATATAGATCTCCTGTATAGTTTATTTATGAACTATAATTTTATGTTGAAAAATGTCCATAAAGTAGGTTACATTATAATTTAATAACTACTGATGATTTTTAAAGGGCCACTGCCTAGTACACATTTGCCGTGTATACCCTAGACTATTATTTTAAGGTAAATTGCCATTTTACCTAGCACACTCTACACTGTAGCTTAAAATTGACTGAAATACAATTGAAATTTTGTTTTCAACATCGGTTACAGACACATAATGAAAGAATTACCTGGGGGCTATATTTTGTGAAAGAACAGAAGTTATTTATGAAATGCATGTTAAAAAATTACTATAAGACAAGTGAACTTCAAACTTATTAGGATTGCAGTATTTGATTTCATTTTCAGCATGTGACAAAATAGTTGGTGAGAACAAAAAAAAAAAAAAATTCCCAAACATGAGGTACAGATGCGAAGATTCTAAGATTTCAGAATTTCTGGTTATTTTACCAACATTTTAAAAGCCTTAGCACGAAACAGCTGGAACAAAGTGGAATTTCATGTGAACTTTTGAATCATTTATATGTAGAGGTGAAGAAAATTTACAATCAAATTTACAAAACAATGATTCATACATTAGAGCATAAACTTAGCTACTATTAGAAGAAATTTTCTCAAAAAGTGTAAAAAATTGGCAGCTCTGATATAGCAGAGAGTAAAAATATTCCTATACCCCTTCCCTTTTTGGAACAATTTTGTTGCACCAGTTTTTCTAGATTTTTTTCTCAGAAACATAGATGATAATAACTGCCAATGTGGGTTTTGGACTGTATTTGTGTGTGTAGATAAGAGTGGATTTTGAGGGAAGGAGCAAAATTTGCAATCTGTGTTTATTTTAAGTTCGATTATCAGCTACGTACTTGCCCTGAAATGCACTTATGTGTTTTTAAGGTTAAAAAATTGCACAGATGCTTTTCTTTTTTTTAAAAAAATCTATCCACACTCAGCAGATAAATTAAGAATGTTTAAATTAATTACGAAGAGATGCATAGTAGTATGTCGTATATGTAGGGTTTATTGTGGGCAGGGAGCCTCATTTGCCCTTTGAATAAAAAATTCTGTCCCGCATGCCCTATGAACCTGATTATACGACCCAACCTATTAAAGGGGAAAAAGAGTTATATTCACAGCAATTTTATGGTAAATCCATGGAGCCATATTTTTATAAAACTATTTTAATATGCAATCTACCAGTGTAATAGACAATTTTTAAATAGTCAAGTTTCAGTTTCTTTTTCAGTGTCTTTGCCCGTTATACCATACACTGTTTTTTTCTTTTCTTTTTAAAGTTTAGTACTATAGCTCAGTATACCCTACACTATTGCTTAAAATTGACTATAACACAAGTAAATTTGGAATTTCAGAGATAGGAATATTCAATTCTGTTTTCAGCATCACGTTCAGACGCATATCAAAAACAATTGTCAGGGGGCTGGTCAGCAGTTATTTCAGAAATGCATGCTTTTTATTTAAAAGTGACCTTATGTAACTGAATTTCGAATATTTAATATGGTTGCAGTATTTGATTTTGTTTGCAGGGGCAACAATAAAAATGTGCAAAAAGTGGTTAGCAAGGAAAGAAAAACAGCAAGCATCAGGTAGGTGCAGATGTGCAAAAAATCTATTTCCTCCTTTTATACTATATGGAAAAGATGGGCCGCAATGGCTTAGGGGATAGAGCGTTCACCTTCCTATGAGGCAAACTGGGTTTGAATCCCAGTCAATACGATTTCAGCATCCCACTTGCACCGACCACAGTGCTGTGTGAAATAACCTTAGTGGTGCAAATGCGGGTTAGTTCTATCAAAAAGTCCTCCACGAAGGCGAATTTCCTCCAATACTTGATCCACGAGTTTCCTTGCCTTCTGGATTGGGTTCAAAATGACAAGGCTACATAGTTGAACATTAGAAGCCGTAAACCCAAAAATTGGGTCAGTTGCTCAATGGCGATTATAAAATATATAAAAAAGATTCAGAATTAAATGAAATCTTTTAATATCAAACTTTTATTCGTAACATAAAATATTATCTATATCGCAAAAAACTTTTATTTTTTCAAGAATTTTTATTCATTTAAAATATATATTTTGAAATTAATTGAATTATAATTCGGAAAGAACGGCTCATTCAGAATAGCGTACAAGAAACCAGAGTTTAAGAAAATCTATGAACTAAATATTATAAGTTAGGTTCTTTAATAAGTGTGACGCTTATCGTCACTTAATTCAGAATCATAATAAAACATTTTAAATAGATTTATCGTAAATTCCAAAATAATCTATTAGATTGAAAATACTGTGGTACCATTAGTACATAGAACCTTAACAAATATAAATAAACGCTCTTGATTAAAATGTGAAGAAATACATATCGAATAGGGTTAATCATGAGTCTATAGTCTAAGTTTGATCTCTTATGTGACCTTTTAGCAATAGTTTGATCACACAAACGGTATAGTGTATAAGATTTTAAAAAAAGACAACAGAACCAAGTCATTAGAGGTTCACCAACATTAATGATGAAGATCAGTATAGGTAAGTTCTTTCCATGCCAATTAGTTTGTTTATTAATAATTAAAGTATTTTAATTGAATTCAACAATATATAAATAAAAACAATCACTGCTTAATTAGTTAGTTTGTGTCTTTAAACCAATGTAACATGTTTTTGTATTGGTACCTGCGCTAAAATAATCCACAAATTTTTGTCATACATCAGCATTCTCGCAAGAGTGCAAACGAAATATAAAACTCAGCCATCCCCTGAAAAACCACCAAATATTCTTATTATTTCCTATTTTCAAAAACTTATCAATAACCTAGCAATTTTATTTGGTGCTTTCTGATAACATGACCATGTACCAATATTGAATTATCCCCATATAAAAAATCTGCAATGACATAAAAATTAAGAAGATTCAAAGTGTTGGGATATTTCCATGTCGTGATCTGTCGTGCCAACTACAATCGCCAAGGTGCCAAAGAGATTTTAAACTTGCAAATTGTTTTTAAAAAAAACATGTCGATGTTTGCTCGGTGGTTACGAGTTATACATTTTGAGTTGGTCCCTTTCTGTGATGTTTTTACAGTTTCTCGAGGGTCGCTGCCCAGAAGTTGCCAAGAATTGGCGATTATTCTGCCACAGATCACAATACGGAAAGGGTGTTAAAAATTACTCTTGTTACAGAACAATCTTCATGGGTTTAGACAATATCATTTTCACCTACCTAGCAAATGTAAAACCATCAGCCATATCACCAGTTGTTCCATTGCTATGGTGTTGATAAAATCTTAAATATACCCAGGATGATAACAGACCAGACGTAAACATGACAGGATAAGTACCCCCAACAATGCCAATAGGCCACAAAATTAAACTCAATATTAGAACACAGAGAGGTACATTTCTGTTCCGCAGCTTTCCACACGGAAAAGTAACAAGAACATGATCTGGCATAATTTGTTTAACAGCCACAGAAACAGCAGCACAATAGCCTGCCAAACCATGTATTTGAACAGAGAATAGATAACGAGGATCAGATGTTACGGTGAAGATAACAATATAAAACATCACTGATAGAAATGCTACTGATGTGTTTACTAATGCAAAAAATGTCAGCATTTCCATGGCTCCCCATAATGGTTCCAGAAGCTTCCCACATAATCCAACTGTTATGACATCAGCTAACAATAAATAGAATTTTGTTTCTAAATAACAATGTGTGAATGCAGTCCAAACCCAAAAATTCGGAGGAATAATAAAACCTGGAGTGACACTTATAACTCGAATAGCAGTTTCATTGAAAGAAAGAAAGTAGCAAAATATGTTCACTATACATATGAATTTAACCACAACACTACTATTTTTAAAAGCAGCTGCAAGTTGCTGGTTCAGATAATGTAGATTTCTTTTAATTATTGATATTGATATTGATATTTTAGGAGCCATAATGTTTTGGTTTGCAAATGAAGAAGGCTGAACTGGATCCTATGAAGATACGGTTGTAGATACATTTACTTTTCGGCTGAGGTTTGTATGGAGAAAAAAAATAACTGGTTCTCACTGCATTGTTCAAAGTGCGCAAAAGGGTCTGTGGTGAACGATTCGGATGTAGAGCTAACGGAGAGTCTCACATCATGCGATTTGCAATACGCGATCGTACGTCAATGCGATTCGTGCATGCGCGATTAGTTCCTGATACATGTTTCCTTCGCACGTGAGCCTAGCGCGATCGCACGCAGCTTGAATGCTTTTCAAACTGACTGAAGTCCTCAGAAAACTTAAAAACTGACAGCAGCCTTTATAAAAGAACAATCAAAAGCTCACCTCGGTAACTTTTCAATTATTAAAAAAAGTTATTTCTGTTAAGGAATGCAAAGAATTTCCATGTATTTTCCAAAAATAAAATTGGAAAAGCAATGAGTTTCCAAATATGTATCCGTTGAGAAATTTTAAATTTTTTTTAATTTTCTCAGTATGTCGCTCACTTTTTAATTTGGTTAAAATAAAATATAAATCTTCCATTAATTTAATCAAATTTTAATTCAGTTTATTTATTTGTTTTTTATTTTTTTAAGACATGTACCTCTTACGATTTTTAAAGTTATTTTACGCAATACTGAGCAAATGTATCGATAATATAAGGTTGTTGTTGTTGTTCATTTACGTCGCACTAGAGCTGCACAATGGGCTATTGGCGACGGTCTGGGAAACATCCCTGAGGAAGATCCGAAGTCATGCCATCACAATTTTGACGACACACACAGAGGGGATGGCACCCCCGCTTCGGTAGCCCAACGACCTGCACGCGAAGTCGAGCACTTTACGGTAAAACAGTTTAACGAGGACCAATACCGCACACCTGCCAAAATGTTTTAATTTAGTTCTTAAATGTTTTAATTTAGCGGTCAAGTTTCTTAAACGCTGAATGTTTCTACAACATCTCAAACGCATCGTGCTTTAAATTACTTTTTACTGATTTTATTGACTTTTTACTGATTTTTATCTCAAGGAAAAAACATTATTTACGATACTACTTTATCAACTCAACTATCATTGAAATTTATAAAGTTTACAAAAAAATTATTAAATTATAAATACCTTAAATAGTTCACTGCGGGACCGATAACATAAAGCAGAACACTAGGCTAATTTTTTATAATTTCTTGCAATGCGGAAATCATTTGAAAGTTTTTCTATATTCAAAAAATGAATGTCAAATAGTTCGAAAACATCCATATATATCAAAACTTATAAGAGTTTCCAAGAAAGCTCTTTTAATCTAAAATACGCTAAACTCATGATCGATTTTACACATCGCCTCAGTAAGAGGGAATATTTTTATAATTTTTCCCATGAATTTTGTAATGAATTTTCATTTGAAATTTAATTCATTTAAATATAATACGACAATTTATTAAAAAATACTAATATATTTTAATATATTAGTAGAAAAATTTTAAAAATAAATTTGTTTTGTTCTGAACATGCACTTGCTCAAAGCGTATTTATCGTTAATATAAGGAAGGAAGTTTTGCGAATTTTTCGTAATTTTTCACACTGTCGGAACAATTTAAAAGTTCTATTATATTGATAATTGAGCATCAATTAAATTAGAAAACAGACATATATGACAAGAAATATTGAGAGAAAATTTTTAAAAAAAGCTTCTTTAGTCAAAAACATGCGAAATTCAGAGCATATATACTTTACTTCCATAAGAAGGAGCAATTTGGGAATTATATATTATCTTTTTTCAATGCAGAAAGTTTGAAACTTGCTTTACATTAAAAAGTTGAAAGTGTGGTATAAAATACTCATACTTATCAAGAAATATTTATAAAAATTAAAAAAGAGGCCTGTTTTTAGTTCAGAACATGATAAATCTCATCATATACATCACTAAGATAGGAGAAGATATTTTGCGAGTTTTTAAAAATATTTTTCAAATCGGAAATCATGGTAAACTTAATTTATAATAAAAAGTTAGTGTTAATTAGTGTTCGAAAATTTTCAAATATGTCAATAAATATTTCTAAAAAATTTTTTGAATAAAAGTTTATTTAGTCACGAACAAACTAAAGCTCTAAGCGTATATTCCTAGCATAAAGAAGGATAATTTAAGAATTTTTTAAGAATTTTTTGCTGTGAAGAAGTCATTTGAAATTAGTTTTATATTAAAAAGTGAGTGTCAATTGATTTAAAATACCACATAAATTTAAATTAATATTTATAAACAATTTTAAAAAAAATTGCTCAAAGCACTCTAAATAGCGATATAGAGCTAACTTGAAAGAGGACACTTTACGTTTGTTTTTTTTATAACTTTTTGTGACATGGAAAAAATTTGAAATTTGCTTCATGTTAAAAAATTATTCCAATTTGTTAGAAAATATGGATTTATATGCGAAAAAGTACTAATAGAATTGTTTTTTAAATATAAATAAAATTTGTATAGTTCATAATATGATAAAGTTCTGCGCATAGATAAAGCTAAGACAGGGAGGATATGTTTCAAATTTTAAATGATAATTTGCAATGCGGAAATCACTTGAAAATGGTTTTCACTTAAAATGCAAGCCTCAATGTGTTATAAAAGAAAATGCCCATATATATCAAAAAATATTTATTCAAGAAAAAGAAAGAAAGGAGATGGTTTATAAGTACTTAGATCCGGGATTTTACTGAGAATTTTCCTATAATTTTTTGTAACGCGAAATTCATTGAGACTTGTTTCTTATTCAAAAGAGTGAGTCAATTTGTTTAAAAATACTCGTATACATAAATATTTTTTTTTCCCTGAAAAAATCTTGCTTAATCCAAAACAGGCGGCGTTGACAACTTATATTTTGCCATCATAAAGGAGAACAATTTGTGAATTTTTAGTTTTTTTTTTTTTTTNTTTTAATTTTTTTTTTTTTTTTTTTTTTTTTTTTTTTTTTTTTTTTGCAGATTTATTTTTCGAATAAGAAAGTTTCAACTAAATTTGGCGTTACAAAAAATTAAAGATAAATTCCTATTATTTTCCCTTACTTAACTGCTTATAAATCCCAGATCTTTTCTTTTTTCTTAAATTTTTGTATAAATATTTCTTGACATTCATGGGTATTTTCTTTTCTAACAAACTGATGCTTACTTTTTAAAATAAAATTCCACATAGCGAATAATTATTTAAAATTTGAAACGTAACACCTCCCTTATCTCAGCGATATCTATGCGCAGAACTTAATAATCATATAATAGACGAAACAAATTTTATTTATTTTTGAAAAAATATTTCTATTAGTTCTTTNCTTTTTGATAATTATATATATATATATATATAGATGAATAGATAGATAGATAGATCTGCATTTTCTCACTATAGTTTAACTCAAGTATAGAAAATCTATTTATTGTTAACTTATTTATTGAAAGGAAGGAGAGCTAATCATCAAAGATACTAAAGTTTGCAAAATGTATACTTTAACTACATTCGTATTAATACATTCTTATATACATCAGTTTTTATTAATAACACATAACTTAAAAAGCGACAACACTAGTTGCTAAGATTTTTTTTGTGTGTAAAATTTGGTTTTATTCAATAACGTATAGTCTTCAAGTGTGATACCAATACAAATGGTCTAACATTTTGATGACTTCATCATGGACGAAATATCTTGAGCTCCAAAAAAGGCATCAGTTGCCGATATAGTTCCAACATTTAAACCTTCTTAGAATAGATTTTTCTGACTTTCGAACTAACAATAGTGGTTAGAGTTAAGATCTGGAGAATACGGTGGGTGGGAAGCTCATTTCGTGCAGTTTAGACATCATTACCAAAAACAACTGACAAAGTGCATTGTCTTGAGGAAAAGCACTTTCTTCTTATTCTCTGTTAAGGATTTTTCCTTCCATCAAGAAGTCGATAACTATGATACCATATGTATCCCAAAAAACACTCACTCCAGAATTTTTCAGACCGATTATTGCTGTCACTTAATTTTTTTTAAGGCGTTAGATCTTTTCATAGAATGTAACAGAAATCTCTTGTTTAAAGTATTTGGGACCATATTTTCAGATTGCTGTTACAAAAAAAAGAAGAAGAAGAAAGTAAATAAATATAAAAAAATGCTTATTTAAATAAATTTAATCACAAGTTATTTGGGATAATTTTTTTTCACTGTGCCACAAAATAATAGGTGAGAAGCAAATACCTTTATACATCATTTAAAAATTTTTTTAGTATATTGATCCGTAATATCATCCAAATTTGAAGCACTTTTAATATAGTGGCAAAGTTAAACCATATTACCGCACTTCTTTAGGTTGATTACATGATCTATGGTTCAACTTGGACCAATACATAGTTCAGGTTAAATGTGGAACTGATTTTTCTAAGAGCGTATGTAGACTATCTCTTCAGTTTTCAAAATTTATTGCTAGGAAATTTTTATAGTAGAAATAAATAAGTATAAGTTTTGGGCTTATTCATGCATGCAACTTGTACCCTTTAAATTATAATAATTTAATGAAAATTTAGTAACTATAACAAATGAGCTGTCAAAATTTCTTGGTGTATGTTTCTTAACTAACAAGTTTTAACTCTAACGTAATTATTAACTGTCATCATAATAATTGAGGATATTGTGCCAATGTTAAGTAGTTCTGAAATAAGATTAAAAATCAGGTTAGAACTGCTTTAATATCAGTGAAAGTTTTCGACTTGCATCTAGAATTTTAATTTCTATTGTAGTAAAGCATTTCTTAACCATAATTTGACCTCAATTTAGAGTTCAACTTTGGATATTTCATTGGAGGACAGCGATCAGAAAGTGAAGTTTGTGTAGCCTAAAGAAAAACCGTTTCTACGAGGTCAACGTAAAGTTTATGTTTACACCACGTTTTTACTGTTATGCATTAAACGCATAATGTAGGAATCGTTGATATGTCTTCAGGCAGAACGTAATTTTCAGGCAATAGAGACACTTGAATTTACGCAACATGATATTCAATTTAATGAGCACAAATTCCGGAATTCGAGTGATCATAGATATATGAAACATAAGCTTTCATGCTAGTAAAACAAGTTTCAATCAAATTTTAAACTTTCATATTAAGTTTTCGTAAAATTTTAAT